TAAGACACTTAGCTAACTCCCCCCACAGGGATCCAGGCACAGCACAGGGACTGTCGGGCTTGGAGGGGGTCACACTAAACGCTCCCAGGTTGGCAGACCCAGCAGGACCCAGCTGTCGCTGTCTGCAGGGTGTGCACACAGAATGTGCAGCTGGCTCAAGCCCCTGGCCACACACAACGCCCTGCAGAGCCACTCAGTGCCGCTCCGTCTAGACACCGGTGCCAGCATGTGGAGGAGGTGGCGGCATGGGGGACCTCAGAAGCTCAAGAATAAACCAAGGGCAGCCAAGTGTCCCCCAACGTCTGTCTCCAGGGCAGAGGGCCTCATGTTCCCCTAAGGGCTGGGGGATGTGTGTGCGGGGGGAGGGGGGAATACAGTGACTCGGTGGAAGCTGAAGCTTGTCACTCCCACATCCACATGGCCCCGGAGGGAGGCTCCCCCCTGGAATTCTGCAGATTAATAAGAGTAATCGGGGCTCCTTCCAGAACAAGCTGCTCCTGGAATACAGGAGTTGCAGGTGTGGGAGTCCGTGGTCATCTAAGGGGAGCCTGGGAGGGATATTTGCAAGGGGTGGGGACTGACACCCTAGGGCCAGAGGTGTGGAAGCTGCAAGAAACGAGGGACACGCCCCTGTCGAGATGAAGGGACCTGGTAGGCCTGCTACACAGTCTTGCAATGACCCTCAAGTTTCTGCAAAATGCACATTTCCAGGCTCTGCCCTGACCAGGCTGGGGTGGGGGACAGACCCCCTAAGTGCTGCCCGCTCAGCGTCTGTGACAGTGCCAAGGCTGGGCCCAGGAGGGAAGCCGTGTCCCACCCCTGCCCGCAGCCCAGGATTGAGGCTGAGCTGCACGGGACCAGGGCTGGCCGGCGCGGTGTGGGACCGACCTCTCCCTCCAGGACCACAGCCATGTTTAAGGGAAAACGGGGGGGAGAGGGGGGGAGGGCAGAATGACACTAATTTAGACCCACTTGGATGACTGTTTTATTCATGCTATTTCCAAGAAGGGATGTCAGAGCTGGACCAGTCTACACTCTCGCAGGCTTTTCTGTTGGCCAAGGGGTGCCACTGGCCTGCTTACGGGTCCTCAATGTCGAGAAACTCCTGCTTGGGGGGCGCCGCTCCGCGGTACCATGCGCAGGAGCCATCATTTCTCTTGATACAGGCGAAGAACTTGGCCTGGTGCCCGTTGATGCTCTTCTCCGTGACCCAGTCCATCCACAGGCACTCGTCCACGGAGGAGATGTAGCAGGGGATCATGGGACAGCGTGTGATCTAGGAAAGAGGGGCATGGAGGACTCAGTCAGGGACAGAGGTGGCTCGGGCAGCTCCAGAGCCCAGCCATGTGCCTGCCAAAGGCAGCCAAGGACAGTGCGTTGAATGAGTGACCACAAGAGGGCAGCACAGGAGCTGAGTGGGGCTGGAGTGGAATCATCTCCGCCATCAGCCTTTCCTAAGTGTCAAGCTCTACACCCCCTCTACACCCCTCCCCACTACAGGTGCACCTCAACATTGGGCCATCTAGTCTACCTTCTGGCTGGGCCACCATGTCTACCTTCAGGCTAGGTCATCCGGTCTACCTCCTAATTTGTTGACCCGGTCTACCTACTACTTTAGCCATCTGGTTTACCTACTAGTCTGGCCACCTGGTCTACCGACTACTTTGGCCACCTGATCTACCTACTAGCCTGGCCACCTGGTCTACCTACTAGTCTGGCCACCTGGTCTACCTACTAGTTTAGCCATCTGGTCTACCTACTAGT